CAGAGAAACCCCCCCTCCTTCAGCCACCACTCCTCAGCACAGCGCCTGGCTTCACGGATGTTTTGACAGCAGTGTTCACTGCAGGAAGTGACCCGTCTTCCTGCACAGGCATGTTAAGGTGCAGAGCCCTCTCAATCTCCTGGTTCAGTCAGAATGGAGAGCACGCTGAAGCGATGCAGGCAGAGGGCAAGTGAGGGAATTGCGAGTTTCAGGACAGCTGGGGGGCGGGTAGCCAGCAACTCTCAAGATCTCAAAGTTTCTTTTGTTATTTATTAATCTTTAAAACAAGCTTGGGGGGGGGGCGGTGTGTGCAGGGCAGGAGACAGCACTGTAGCCTGGTAAAGCCATGGTCTACTATGTCAACATCCCACATGGGTACCAATTCATCACCTTGCTACATTACTTCCAATCCAGCTCCCTGCTAATGGTCTTTTCAAACAGTAAAGATGATCTAAGTGTTTGAATCCATGTCACCCGTACGGGAGACCAGGACGAAGCTCCTGGCTCTTCAGCATGGCCCGGTGTCGGTCGTTAGGATCATCTGGGCAGTATACCAACAGATGGAACACTGGATACACCAATGCATGGAGTACCAATGGATGGAAGATCTCTCTCTCTCTCTCTCTCTCTCTCTTTTCTCTAACTGTAAATTTAAAAACAAAAATCTTGAGAGGCTAAACTGATTGCCCATAGTAAACTGCACCAACACAGATCGCTGATTAGGAGAGAGAGATCATGCAAGCAAAACCTACTCAACTGACAAAAACAAATTGCAAACCTTAACAACAATTCTAGCTATGAAAAGATTCTTTCAAAGAAAAATCTAAGTGACAATCAGTAATCAAGGCATAGGTAGCAAGTCATGAGAGCTGTCCCCAGTTGTCCCCGTTGTCCTCTGCCCCAGCCCCTCCTAATGGACAGCACTGCTCTCAGATCCCAGTTTCAGCTCCAGGTCCCATGTGACTGCCAGTGAGGAAGGTCATTTTCAGGCAAATAAGTGTCAGGTCCTGAGATGAAGCTTCTCCCAAGCCCGATTCCTGAGTGCCTATGTCAACAGGGCCCACACATGTCCCCTCTATGCGGAAAGAACAAGAAATCAACTGCTAGGCCTGGCATTGTAGCAAAGTAAGTAAAGCCACTGTGATACCAGCATCCCACGTGAGTGGCAGTTCAAATCCCAATTGCCCTGCTTCTACTCAAGCTCCCTCATAATGTGCTTAGTGGAAAACATCACAAGATGGTCTGCATCTTGGGCCCTGCCATCCACGTGGCAGGTCTGGATTTCTGGTGCCCTGGCTTCACCTTGGCCCAGCGCTGGTTTTTGAGGCCATCAGGGGCATGAAGCAATAGATGGAAGGTATCTCTGTCTCTCACTGCCGCCCCACCTTTCTTATACATAAATCTTCACAAATACTGAACTGTGGTATTAAGCCAGTAAAATCCTGGAGCTGTGTGTTCTTTCAGCAGAACCCAGCTTACCTTGATTAATACGCAACTGGCATGGAATCCCACAGGCCTGTGTCTGAACCAGAGCTCTTTCACTTACTGAGTGATCACAGGAAAGCCACAGCCACCTGTCTGGGCCTCCAAGTCTGCAGGCACACAGTGAATGACACCTGAGCACCACATAGTGGTGACCAAGAGAGACTGAAGGAGAGAAATAGTGCACCATGCTCAGCCCAGCACCCTGGTGAAGACATTCAGTGAGTACCAAGGGATGGTAAACTCTAAGCTACTCTGAGCCTATCTGCTTTACAGAGGTTGGCTACCCTTGGAAATTCTATAAAGTAAAACCTCCCAACCTCTTTATTCAATGAGAGCCATAGAGTTACAGATTTTTCTTGGTAAATGCACAAAAAATGAGGGAAAAACAATAGAACATTTCAAAGTTAAATACTGTGATTGTGTGGAAGACTAGAGGAGCAGAGAAAAGCTATTTATGACCTGAAGGTGGAAAAAGAAGAAAACTGCGGAGGGAGAAGGGGAGGATACGGTGAGTATCCCTCACCCCCCACCCCTGCCCCTGGCTCCCCACTTGCCACGGCCTCAGATGAAACAAAGACTCACAGGTAAAGCAAGCAAACTCTACATGGAGAGTAAGAGATGCATAGAGAGGGATGAGTGCTGAGACAGAACAGACAGAAAAAAAAGGACAAGAATGTGAGGTCTGGGGGTTTCCTGGAGCCCTGGAGCTGGCTGTCACACCAGCAAGGCCGTGCCTGAGCAGGACAGTTCAAACCACCCAACAGTCATTCTCCAGACCCAAACAAGTCCTGGACTCCACCACTACTACACAAGGAATCACCTGAAAACTCAGTCTCTAGCGCTTAAATGCAGACGTGCAAGAATGAACAGGAGCTGCCCACAATACCAGCATCCCGTGTGGGTACTGGTTCGTGTTGCAGCTGACCAGCATTATGTATGGATGCTGGTCATCCTGTATGGACGCTGGCTCATGTCCCAGCTGCTCTATTTTGAATCCAGCTCCCTGCTAATGAACTGGGAAAAGCAGCAGAAGATGGCCTGAGTACTTGTGTCCCTGACACCTACATGATGACCCCTGATGAAACTCCTGGCCATCTGAGCAGTGAGCTAGCTGGTGGAAGATCTCCCCCTCTCTCTCAAAAAACTGTAGACACCTCATTTCACACTCTCTCCCTATAACTCTTATTTTCAAATAAATAAACAGCTTTTTCTAAAGGACTGGACAGTCCCTTGTTATTGCAGTAGCCACCATGCCCATCACAACAGATAGGCCAGGGATGCCCAAAGAAGCCACACTGATCAGCTCCTGGGCAGAACTGCTAACCCTAAAATAATCATTCAGATTTTAACTGTAAGTCTATTTTGTTTAAGTTCAAACACTTTTTATTACATCAGAATGGTTGTAGAGAGCTATTTGAAGTTTCCAAGGTATTTACTGCCCATTTTCAATGGTTAAAAATGAAAGAACTAAACACAGAAGCAAAACCACCAACTATCCTATATGATTCTAAACTTCTGAAATGATTGGGATGGCTGTCAACAGGAAAATAGCAACAGGTTTCAATGAATTTATAATCAGGTCTAAACAGTGTACAAACAAAACAAGTAATACTGCTCAAAGTTTGTGGAAAAATAAAATGGAAAGATAAGCTTATTTTGGTGTGAAAAGTCTTAAATCCACACACAGCTTTTTTATAATAACTACTTTTCATGAACTTTTGGAAGACCTTTCCCATCCTTTAAACAAGAAAATGTCAAAAATTTTACTCATAAAAAGTGGACAATTTTTATAATCCAAATAAAAATTTCATTACTTCCAGACCATTTAAATTCCATCCAAATCAGAAACGTGCTAACCATTAGACCCAGAAGAGGTCATTTTCTCGCCAAAATTTGGCTTTACGCATCAAAGACAGCTCTGTATGGACCTAATATCAAAAATTGCCACAAATAAATTAAATTATGAAGGAGCGAAAAAAAAAAAAAAAGACACCACTACTCTTACAGCTCTCTTGGATGGCTCACAGACTTTTTTGCAGACATAACTTGGTGTGATATAAATAAAATACTAAAGCCAAAGGTGAGATGTGAAGCAAGTCTAAACACATTAGAAATATGCCCAGCTCGACGCGGCAGAGGAATTAAGGCGAAAGGGAAAGTGGTAGGCATGTCAGTAAATGATTACTGAACGGTGAATAGCAAGTACAATGTCAATATTTAGCTTCTACCTTGGAGGCGTTCAAGTTCCTTCTGACCCAGGAGCTTGGCTCTACCAGTTCTAGCAACAGAAAGGCTTGCTCCTTGGGTGACCGGCTTCAGGCTAACAGTCTCAGAACAGCAAAACAAATGGAGCCTACCACACACACGTGCGTAGAACTTTGATGGACGAGGACTGTGAAAATCGGCCCAGTTCGTTTCTCCCTCCCCCACCCCACCATTTAAAAAATAATTTGCCTTCAAAAGCATGTTAGTAAATCCACAAGTTTTAGGATAATAGGAACCACGTGTCCCATGTGTTCAACAGATTCGCTTTTTATGATGTACAGTCCCCTGCATTAAAATAAACCTATTTCTTGATTTTTTAAAAAAGCAATGAAATGAAATTAAAAATTCATAACGAAAATTTCACAGCTCACAGTGCAACATGGGACTGAATTTATTAAATGTGACCATCCAATGAAATTGGACTTGTGATCCTTGGTCAGGAAGACCAGTACATGGTAAAAAGGCATCCATGATTTCAGTAATGGGAGTTGTAAAATGTTTTCAAGTTTGAGAGCTTCAAGTTAAAAATCAAAAACCCAATCACATGTTTCACATTTTTAGGTTTTGTTCGCTTAAAAAAATATATCATGAAGATTTTTTTAAAAGAAAAGTTCCCTGAGACCCATAAATTTTTATTAAATGCAAGTGAAAACAATCTTGGCAGCAGACAATAAGAATGCCTACTCTAGAATCTGCTCTGTCCTGTGATGAGAATGGCTCCCTCCCCAGGTGACCTCACTCCCTCCTGCAGAAAGCCCCGCCCTGCTTGTCACAGCTGCCCTCTTGGTGTTACTCTGTGAGCAAGTTTTCCAAAGGTAAAATGGTTAACATTTCCCCTCCATCATCATGGGCTCTAAAAATAACTTTCCTTCTTTCTTTTCAACCAACGGATAATTACAAAGTAAAACGTATTAAAAACGAAACATCAAAACGAGCTTCAAACATGGGGGGGGGGGAACCCAGAAAACTCTCTCTCTAGAGAATGGCAGGGGAGCGAGAGCAGAAACCAGCCTGAGGTAAAACCCCTAATAATGAGACCTGCACCAGGGGCACAGAAGGCCCACCCGCACCAAAGGCACACACACTCCACCCCACGCACAGAGGCACGCTGTGAAAGCAGTGAACCCACAAATGACGCTAGGAAACAAAATGAAACACTGGGAGAGTGAAGGCGCGGTACTACCTTCCACGCGCCCAGAGCCGCTGACATCCAGGCCACGTATTGGTATAAATTCTTACTTTAAACTCACCTGATTCATTTTCAATTCCTGTTGTGTTCTGTAAAGATACACACAACAAAGAAACTTCTTTGATTACATGAGCCCTAAAAAGAAAAACAGACAGATGTAATATGTTCCTGCCTACAAATTTACAGTGATTTAAAACCACACAGAGAACCCTAGTGTTTGCTCAAAGGGCCATTCACTACGCCATTCCATGCCGGATCCATCTATGCTGATGGTCCACTTCTCGGATTGATCATCTACAATAAAACAGATGCATACTAGGGCTTCATGGCACGAGTCCGCTACAGTGAAAGCAGACTCATTAGAACCACATCAAATTTCTGCTTCGGAATTACTCCTTTGCTAAGAAACAAATTAGCTTTGTTAATAGCCAGAAACACAAAGCGCTGCTGAGTGGCTTATCGCACGCTGCTGTGTCGTGTGGGTGATGCCAAGACTTTGCGTTTATGTCCACGTGCAGAATGCCAACACAATCCGACCCCACTCCATCACGCTCTTTTCCAAGTTCCTGGAGTAGAAAGGTAGATTCGCCAGCATTGGCCACTGAGCGTCTTCTTCAAGGAACACAACAAAAACCTTGCAATCAAAGGCAAATGGCTTAATAAAAGATGCTTGCAAAGAGCTATAATTATTGCTTAAAAATTTGTGTTCAATATATTCACAGTACAGAAAAATAAAGAGAAGACAAAATCCTTTTTGTGAAAACAGGAGACTCACTTTTTGCTTTCTGCAGCGCTCACCTGAGGAGTCACCAGATCTCATTTAGAAAGCATGAAGAGCACACCACCTTAGAATTCCCACCACCACAGCCTGGAGGTCTCCGGCACACGGACAGTCACACACCAGTCAGCCCGATTCCACCTCTCTATGCACGCTGCTTCCGGTTCTGGACCGCAAGACTCTGATTACATTCTAACTGAATGTCCTAATTGTTAATGACTCAAGAAATGCATAATTGAGTGGCATTCTGCATCCTGGAAGAACATACAGCCCACCCACCATCATAAAGAATGTTCTTTTACATTCCATTTTCAGTTTTTTAACAAGGGCTGCTGGGTGTTTTGTTTTACCATTACTTGAACTATCTAACCACTCTTTGCTGTAAAAAGGCACTATGTAAGTCAGGGCCCAAGCAGCTCAAGTACTTCTCACTCATAACTGGCACGGAAAACATACTCCGAAACACTGCATCTTGCTGGAGCTCAAACCAACATAAACCCTCAGTAGGTAGGTATTCGGTGAATAAACATCAGACATTATCTCTCACACAAATTTTACAGGTCCTTTCCTTCTTTGCCTCATAGGTTAATCACAATATCTGGATGATATTGTTATGTTAAAAGAAAAAAAAAAAGAGATACTTGGGTGGCCAGCACTGGGGCTGGCACATGGGTTAAGCTGGCACCTGAAATTCTGGCATCCTGGCTGTTCCACTTCTGACCCAGCTCCTGGTTTTGTGCCTAAGAAAAGCAGCAGAAGAGGATCCAGCTCTTTGGGCGCCCACTCTCAGGCGGAAAATCCCAATGAAGTTCTTGATCCTGGCTTTACACCATCCCAGCCATTGTGACTACCTGGGAAATAAAGCAGCAAACAGAACATCTCTCTTTCTCTCCCTCTCTCTAACTCTGACTTTCAGAATACATACATAAATCTTTAAAGAAGAAGAAAGGAGGAAGAGAGGTTAGAGGAAGGAGGAGACAGAGATGAAGGGAGGAAGGAACAGTTCAGCATGGTGCTGTGGCTAATCCTCCACTTGCAATGTCAGAACTCCATATGGGCATTGGTTTGCGTCCCGGCTGTCCCACTTTCCAATCCAGCTCTCTGCTTATGAACTAGGAGACCAGCAGAATGTGGTTCAAATCCTTGGGACCTTATACTCACAAGGAAGAAACAGAGGAAGCTCCTGGCTTCAGATTGGCTCAGCTCTGACCATTGCGAAGATTTGGGGAGTGAACCAAAAGATGGAAGATCTCTCTTTCTCTCTCCCTCTCTCTCCCACCCCATCCTCTGTGTAAATCTATCTTTCAACTAAACATAAATCAATCTTTAAAAAAAAAAAAAGGTATGGGGCCTGGCACAACAGCCTAGTGGTTAGTGCCCTTGCCTTGCATCTGCTAGGATCCCATATGGGCACGGCTTTATGTCCTGGCTGCTCCACTTCCCTTCCAGCTCCCTGCTTGTGGCCTGGGAAAGCAGTAGAGCATGGTTCAAAGCCTTGGGAGCCTGCACCTGTGTGGGAGACTGGGGGAGGCTCCTGGCTTTGGATCAGCTCAGCTCCGACTGTTGCGATCACTTGGGGACTGGACCAGTGATGGAACATCTTTCCCTCTGTCTCTCCTCCTCTCTGTATATCTGAATTTCCAATAAGAAATATATAAAGCTTTTGAAAAGAAAAAAGTATGCATGTGAAACAGTAATAAAATCAGTGGACCCCAAGGTGTGCGCCCCTAACTCCTCCATCATAACTGCCCACAAGAGCCATCGTGACACCTTGTGCCCCTGGTGGATAAGAGGTTAGGATTCATCTGTCCTCTTAATAAGCTTTTCTAGGTGGATTTATTAACAATTGAGGAACAGAAGAAAAGCTTGAGTCAGATGCAACCATATCAACAAAGGGCACCAACCCCATCTCCTGGTATTGCCTTCTCCCTCTCATAGAGACTATCAATAGCAATGCCATCCTAACTCCTGTTTGTAAAGCTCCCTCCATGGACTAGGGCACTAGGCTGCCCTCACGTGAATTAGCCTGGTCATCTCTACCAAGGCAGGCCCTAGCATCCTCAATAGCAAAAGACAGATCCAAGCAGCTAAAGACAGCTTAGCCAAGTTCTCATGATCAGGGTTTGCCTCTTACCCCCATATTTCACCATTTTTGTTCTTGTGAAGATTTTTTTCATATTTCAGCAGCTTTATTGACATAGTCATATATCATACAATTGACATTTTTAAATGATTTATTTTTATTTGAAAAGCAGGTTTTATAGAGGGGGAGAAACAGTGAAAGAAGGTCTTCCAGCCATTAGTTCACTCCAAATGGCCTCAACAGCTAGAGCTGAGCTGATCCAAAGCTTGGAGTCAAGAGTTTCTTCCAGGTCTCCCACATCAGTGCAGGGGCCTAAGGATTTAGGCCTATTTCCCAGGCCATAAGCAGAGAGCTGGATCTGATGGGGATCAGCTAGGACACGAACAGGTGCTCATGTGGGATGCTGGCGCCACACAGTGGAGAATTAACCTGCACACCAGCCCCAACGCCTGACTCAAAAGTATAGTCTGTACTCACGGATTGGTGTAGCTAGCTATCATCATCACTTATTTTAGAACATTCTCAACACATAAGAAACCTTCAGCAGTCACGCCCCACTCCCTTCTAATACCCATCCTCAGTGCAAGACCATTACTAACCTACTTCCTGCCTTGACAGACCTGCCGCTTCTGAACATTTCCTCTTGCCCAAGAGCAACACTATAGCAATTGACTTATAAGATCTTAAGTGGCTTTAATTTCTATTCTAGGATTGAGCCACATTTCATTCCAAAAACTAGATCAATTGTCCCCTTGCCTCACTTGGAGCACCTCCTACCGGTGGAGCTCAGGTCCTAGGCAGTGACAAGAAGGAAGACTTCATTGCCCTTCTTGGTGGAGAAGACCTACAATGAGCAACACAAAACCAAGCTGGGCAGTCGTCCTAAAATAAACATGCTTCGGAGAAAACCACACAGGTGCAAGGCAGAGGGAATCCGAGCACCGGCTCCTATCTCGATGCCTGCAGATCCAGCAGCTGGCTCAGAGAGGCAATGGAAAGAAGTGGCAGCAAAGCCAGCAGGGATGCTGTAAGGCAGTGAGCTAGTAGATGGAGTTCTCCCTGTTCGTATTTCTAGTTTGAGAAGCCAACATCAGATCTGTATTCTCTGAGTCGAGGGAGAGAGGAAATCCTGGTTATTTAGCAAGCAGTATTAGTGCAGGGCCCCCAGCCCAGAGTGGAAAAAGAGAAAGATGGCTCTTTTGTTTGGAAAGGGACATTGGGTACATTCCAATGGGTACAATTAAGCAACAGGTAGTGCAGAAGCAACACTACCAGCCATGCAATAATCTGCATCACATTGTGGTTTTCTTCATGAAAAAGCTGAGATTTGCTGTGATAAGCAAGGCTGAGCCTTGTTCAGCGCTGCATTAGTTTGGTTATCTGGCACCAGACATGGGGATGACACAGTCATCTGAATTGAGCTTGAGTCGGCAACTACAAAGGGTGAAGAAAGGGGAAGGAGAAAAGTGTCAACTACAGAAGGGAGAACAGATGAAAAGCAGATGGAAAGAAGGCAGCATTTCAGACAACAGCAGCTCCGTCCCCCAGCACTGAGGACAGAGACCTGGGGCCATCGCTGACTCCCTTCTTACCTTCCTTCCTTCCAGCTCAGTCAGCAGCCATCCCAGGGCTCACTTTGCTCTTTTCCAATAGAATTTAATAATAATAATAACAATTAAATGTATTTAAAAATGCAAAGAATGACAGACCAATTCCCCCAAATGCCCACACCAGCTGGGCTGGGCCAGGCCAGGCCAAAAACTCGAATTAGGAACTTGATTCAGGTCTCCCCCATGAGACACTGGCAGTGGCAGGAGCACCTGAGCCATCCCCAGTGCCGGCCAGGGTGTGAACACCAGCAGGAAGCTGGAGTCGGAAGCCGGAGTCAGGAGCCGGAGTCAGGAGCCGAGCCAGGACTCAAACCCAGACACTCCCATGCGGGCACTGAGATCCCAGGAGACTTCTGAAAAACCACCCCTCAAACAATACTTTCTAAATTAAATCATTTATTTAACTATGCTAAAAACAAGGGAGGTTAAAGCTCAGGTGATCTCTGCCAGGCACCTTGTGCTGGGCACGTCCTCCTGCATAAGACTGCCCCATTCCTCACAGCTGTCCCAAGCGCTCTGTGCCACAAGGCCTGCACCCATCTGCTCAGAGCCGCAGCTGGGAACCTCTGCACTGCAGTCAGGCAACTAGCTACAAGGTGATCTGGTGTTTTAAAGCCATCACAGACTCTGAGCTTCCCCCTGCACTGCTGCAGAGATGCCGTGGTGACCCTGCAGAGCTGCCACACTAAGTGCTGCCACACTCAGTGCTGCCACACCCAGTGCTGCCTGCAGCCGCACTGCCTTCACACTCAGCTTAACACAACAGGTCCAACGAGAGGAGACGAGCACCCATCCTGTCAGTGCAGAGGCAGGGGACAATCTTCGCCTGACCATCACCGAAAGCTTGCCAAATCCCACCAAAAGCTTCCTAAAGAATGCTCAGCAATTAAGAGTCTTTGGTAGGACACAGAAAATCTTGAAACCCCTTAGGACTTCTCTGAGCCTGGCTTCTGCCTCAGTTCGCTGGATTTCCAAGCCTTCCTATTCTACCTTGCTGATACTTAGCAGTCCGGGGAGCAAGATATAAAGTACGTCAGTCAAATATACGAATTTAGAGCATGCACATTATTACCACCTATGAATTTGATCTCTATCAGGGCGCTTCAAAGGTTCCCAAAATAGTAAACTTACCTTTTAATTTTATTTTTCCATGAACTTTTAAAGTATTCATATTCAAACGAACTGAATAATAATGTTCTAAAATGTTAACACTATACATGCACTTACATTTTCAAGATTTCGCTGTGAAATTCTGGGATAAATCATCCTTACACATACACAATGTCTAGCGCTGGCACCGCGGTGCAGGGGAAAGCTGCTGTCTGCAACATTGCAGGCAGTCCTGTCTGCCCCACTTCACATCCAGCTTCAGAAGACAGAAGACACCCCATGTACTTGAGCCCATGTGGGACCTACAGACGGAATTCCTGGCTCTTACAGCCATTTGGGAAACGAACCAGCTGAACAAAGATCTCTTTCTTTTCTCTCTCCCGCCGTCACTCCACCTTCCAAATAAACAAATCCTTCTATAGTTTTCTGCCTGTGGTGCTGGCAACCCATATGGGAAGTGGTATGAGTCCCAGCTGCTCTACTTCCAATACAGCGTCCTGCTAACAGCCTTGCAAAGCAGCAGAGGACGGCCCAAGACCTTAGGCCCCTGCACCTATATGGGACACCCAGAAGAAGCTCCTGGCTCCTGGCTTCAGATCAGCCCAGCTCTGACCATTGTGGCTATTTGGGGAATGAATCAGAGGATGGAAGATCTGTCTTTCTGCTGCTGCTGCTTCTCTCTGTAACTCTTTCAAGTAAAATTAAATTTAATTTAAATTTAAAAGCTATATAAATCATTAATATCATAACAATGATTTAATTATAAATGATTACTATCAATACGGCAACAATAAAATAAT